ACGCAGTGTGTGTTTCCATAAATCATCAATGTAATGCTCCTCGTCCTCAACACTTCACCAACCCCCCTCACCCCCGCTCCCCCGTCTCCTCCCCCTGCTAAATCCCACCTACACCCTCGAACCTCCATCCCCCACTGCTGGTTTCGAAATCCTGTAGACGTGGCAGTTCCCTCAAAACTTTAGCGGTGCATGAAACTGTCTGAGGCTCGGCAGGAGCGGTGACATCGTTACAGAAGTAGCAGGCAGCCAGCGCGCTCTTGTAGGTCTGCCTGCTGACAGCTGAGTCTCGGTGCTCTGGGCAGTCCGGATTGTGGGGATTTCGGTGCTACTAGCTTCGGGGTATATGGTAATGTGCTGCAAGGGATGGGATCATGCGCAATGAGGCTTCGAGGTTCCAGATGCAATGTAGAGCAACAACGCTGGAACATGAATGCTGAACTTGTCCCGATCTTCCCGCTGCCCCAAAGAGAGCGCGTGTAAGGTACACGTGAGCTACTCAAGTCTTCTGATTGCAAGAGTTTCATAGCAAATTTCTGACACAGTTGCAGTCCGACAGTACTCCACATTTTAAATGAGCACTGTCTGCGCGATGATCCAACATCACTGTTCCTGGCCTGGAAACCAAGAAGGAATCGAAACCGAGCGCGACCGTCAGCCCCAAGGGCGGAGACTCTTTCTCCTGGAAGGGATTCTAATCTATAATAATAGTAAATACTAATAATGATAATGATAACAATAATAATAGTAATAATAATAATAATAGTAATAGTAAACTCCTCCACCGCATGGGTGAGCAAGCCCTCGACTCCACTCGCAACTACCCGTTCAACTCTGGAGGGTGGCCACACAGTGCCACGTCCTACGGCATTGAACCTGTACACCTGGAACACGCCGGAAGCACGTTGAGAGTCGGCCACACGAAGGCGGGAAAATCCAAAGAATCCAGTGTCCATTCATAAATTCATGAAGGCCCCTTATCCAGGAACCCTAAACCCTAAACCCCTAAACCCCATTATCCAGGGACCTGGGAGCCTCGGGGCAGTATGGACATGACTCAGGTGTGAGTCCTTCTGCTGTGCGGCCACGAGCAGGGATGGGACCCACCGAGACTCTCGTGAGTCAGTTAGCATGCCTCGGAAGCTTCGAGGGATCAAGGTTTTTCAGATTATATTGCATCATTACCTGTCACAAATGAAAAAGGGGGGCTTCGATGGATCAGGTTTAGGGGTTTGGGAATCGGAATAAGCTTCGCATCTTAGTAAGGCGAGGCATCCAGAAAACAATCGGCTGCAGCGTCCGTGACTGCCCAGGGAATTGGATCAAAAACGCTTGGGGATCAATGACAACGATTGGGAGCGCTACACTCCGAACGGAAAGATCATGACTCTTACAAAGGGTGTGGCAAAACATTCGAACGTCGAAAAACGGTTACCGCAGTTCAATGCAGTTCACGTCTCCCAGGCTTATGTGCTGCAAACATCCTAGTCTGCAATAGCCTCAGGCACTAGCCGAAACCCAGAAGAGTCAACGAATATCTGCTAGCACTGATCATGGCTGCATGTCAGAATTTAACCTTTGAAGAGAAACCGCAGCCGACGAAGGCCATGTCAACTGTACTCAACAAACGTGCAACACTTAAAGTGATCAGTTAGTCGGTCGTAGCAGCCGAGCTGCACACAACATCATGCGCGTCTATGAGCTCCTGCAGCTTTGCCTCATAACTGCCCCGAGTCATGCATCGTAGGGTTCCATTCGAGGTACGTTTGTGGCCCCGAGAAAGGATCAGAATAACGCTGTTCGAGAGCGTTGTGAACAAAATCTCTTCTCATTGACGGGTATCCTGTATATATATATATACATACATATATATATATATGTATATACATACACGCATACACACCCAACATAACCCAATATGTTGCTTCTCTATACATATATCGACAGGTGACGATCTTGTTGTGCCGGCAGTCCTTCCCGTGACGGTCAGAAGCGAAAACAGGGAACAGTGTGCTGAACCACGAGACAGTGAGCTGGCGGGCGTCACAGACAACGGAGTCCGTGAGTAAGCTTAACTACTTGAGGTCTCGTGCACTCGTCTAGACAAATTCTGCCCAGGCATCGCGCGATGAAAGCTCTCACGGTCGAAGTACCACCACTTTCGAGGCAATCTATTGAGATCCGAAACAACATCCTTCAGCGTTGAATGAGAAGGGTTGAAGTCTTGTCGAACTCTGACATGTGACTCTCAGAAAACAGTGCTGGTCCAGCTGCGAGGTTGCCGCGGAGAACATCCGCTGACTGGTGGGGATGACCAGGCATGGGGATGTCCAGGACAACCTGAATCACTGAAGTGGCCGTAGCGTAGCGCTGCTACATGGAACACCGCATTCGGCAACAGTATGTATTTGTAAAGTAAAGCATGATTGGTGATGAAGGGGAGTCCCACGAACTTTTCAACCGGTTCCGACCCGCCAGTCGGCCCAGTGACATCAGCGACTTCTGCATCAGGTAGGATGGCCTTCACGAGCTTTGAGTTACGGCTATGTGGTACATTGAACATTGTTCCTGCGAGTCTTGAGAGCCTGCACTTGGGCAACCCTGAAAGCCCTGAAGCAGGATCAACGATTGGACTCTACTTCTCCATGTCAGAAACGACGTGTGTGGCTATTTCCCGAAAGCAGCAGCTGCTGCTGCTCGTCTCTTTGCCCAAGCCATGCTTAGGGTTTGGCGTTTTGGGGGTTGATGATGTTGCGAAACTTGCTGCTGCCGGGTCGATGGGTAGTTGGAGCAGGCTGAGACATCCAGGAACATCCCTGAATGTCCCGCAATGTGGCTTTTCGAACAGCAAGCTGAATCCAATCCAGAATTCGGAGTATTGAGTATTGCTCCATGCTGACGGAAAGGACAGCACGCCCAGGCCTCGACAGCCTCGCGAGCCGCAGTCGCCTTGCACAAGCAAACAATTCCGAAACAATCGACAAGCGCATCGCTCATCATCATCATGACGACCGTCCCGTTGTCACTGCGACCACTACCATGGCCGGATTGATTCTATAGGGACCTGCTGATATATTGCGCCACGGAATGATCAGTGGCCGAGGCAGACAGACCTGCACTGAGTGTGCGCCTGATGATTACCTTTACTCAATACTCCTCTTGTGCATCCACGCACATACACAGTACACAGAGAGCAAAAGCCTGTGCAGGCTGGAGGGCTTGCATGTCTGATGAGCCCTCCTAGTTAGTCAAAGACAAACTTCTTTGTCCCCGGAGGACCTTTCGGACTTAACCACACAGAGTCGATTCAACAAGAAACCGAGGAGAAACGTCAAATCGCCCAAAGAATTGGTTGGGTCACCTAGATGTCTGTCGGGGCGTATCCGCATCTTTACGGCTTGCATTTCGAATTGGGAGGGTTTCGGGGCCTCCTCCATTGCAAGGCTTCAGCGTCTTTCATCGCATCGCAGTCAAGACTGGTGTTCTATAGGCGATGCAACACCCGTCCATTCAGCCCAAAACCCTGCAGATACAGTAGAGGCTTCAGGGTGGCAAGGTGGGCCTTTTTGCGCCCCTCTGCGGCGTCCCTGTGCGTGAAAAGGCTCTGCCGGACCGGGTTGGAGTAAGACACCTCCAGAAGGGCAAAGCGTAATTTTTACGAACCGCAAAAACAGACTACAAGTAGGCATCCCCAGGAGCAATGTCATGAATTATACAGGCGCCTACATTCACTCCTGCGTAAACTTTCGCTTTAAGAAGCTTGCTTCTCGAATCCATGGGATCTGGGCCGCGTGAATGAGTGCTAGTTTCTATCTCCGGGGTTTCAATGTCATCCCAGCTTCAGGCACGCATGCCAAAAGTATGTATATCCATAAAGGAAAAAGACAGAGAGAGAGAGAGAGGGATAGAGATTCCGAGAGTTACAAAGTGATTATCTTGTGCCGCTGTACCGCGTCCAAACATGTTCTTGCAGGCTGTGGTTTCGTTTCGCAACATCCGTGCTTGCTGCACTTCCCATTCTGCCCGGAGTGTCGCCTTGCCCGCATCCACGAAGGTCATCCGCCTCTGCCAGGCAGAAGCATGCGTGAAACTCCGAAGCCCCTTAGAGTCATCATGATCTCTAATGCCCGAAACGCTTCAACCCCAAACCTTCAACGATAATCAACGATAGTGGGGGTCTCAGCTCGACGGAAAGTCGATCACAGCTACACGCACATGCTCTGCATAATGCCGAAGTCTTCCAGAAAATCGTGGCGCGGCTTCCGTATTCTGACCTTAACCTTTTGTCTCTGTCGGAGGTGGTGGAGGTGGTGGTGGCGGTGGCTGTTGTCGCTGTTGCTGTTTACAGTATACCGGCATCATGACAGTTGATGTTTTTTGATGTGTGCGGGACCGTGCAAGTAGGGCCATTAATCGGTCTACAACCCGTGCCTGCAGCCCCAGCCCATCAGTGCGCGGGCGACCCCGCAGCCCAAGGTGCCAGCACCGAGGAGCAAGACCCGCAAATCCTGGAGAGCGGATTGGCTTGGATGTGTTTGAAGGCTGGGGCCGCGAGTCCTTCATTTTCTCCGGTTGCAACGACGGCAGCACTCTCCACTGCATCAGCTTGATGTTGAGATCCACGGCGTTTGCCTTAGACAGGGAAAACCAGCGGCCCTGCTAGTGCAAAGGGAATCGAAGCGGCATTCACAGTCCGGCAACATGGGATCAGCCAAGCTGCTGCGACGGTTTTGGAGTCGAGAAACCGGGTGAGGTCGGTAGTCGCAATTTTCCTGGGCTAGCTCCATACTTCGGATTCCGTTGGTCTCAGGCACTGACAAACCAGCGATTGTTGCAAAGACGCGACTTCTATCCGGTTTTTCAGCCGATACCGGGTACGACATGCACATGCCCAGATTCGCTCTTGTGCAGTGAGTCTCCTTGCACGCCCCTTGGGGCACAGTCACAGTACTATACACTACGATGGTAGCTACAACATTGCCTCGGAATGCCTCCGTCTGGTCTCACACTGCCACGGCAGGTGCTGCCAGCTTGTTGATGCTGCGAAGTTCCACATCGAAAATCAGGTCGGCCCCGGGCGGAATGGGGCCTTTACCTGCACCCCCGTAGCCAAGGGCAGCCGGCACCTGCAGAGCGGCACGCTCGCCGAGGCTCATGTGGGGCAAAGCTATCTCCCAGCCCCGGATGACCTCGGAAGCGCCGAGCTCGAAGCCGAACTCGCCGCGGTCGAAAAGCGTGCCATCCGTCAGATATCCTGCGTACTGCACCGTGAGAAGATCCTTCTGCTGCGGGAAGTGCTTCCCGTCTCCTGGCCGCACCTGCTTCAGCCTCAACCCGTTCTCCAGCACTAAGGCGGCGGGTGCTCTCGCAGGTGATGCCATGGATGCCTTGTGCCGGTTCCCATCGGAGTCGGCGGAATCCAGGATAGTTTGCATCCAACTTTCGTCCGGAATCTCTCCGTGCTGCACTTGGTCCAAAAGCTCAGGACTGAAGATCTTCTTCAAGGCACTTGGGCTGCTGATAATTTTGGACATGGCCGGGTCCATCGCCGCCAGCTGTTGCACCAGGGGGTCTTGGTGCACGGCCTTCATGAGCATCCCGGTGTCATTGCTCAACTTCTGAATCTGCTGCTTCACGGTTTGGTTCCCAAGCTCGCTCCTCAACTGCGGATCGATGTAAGCCGCGGAGAGCTCGCCACTCACGCCGCTCATGTCCATGATGTTCATCAACTCATCCGCTGGCATGCGGTTTCCACGACCCAAAGCCTGAAACACCGTCGTCCAGGGTCCCATGCCGTGTGGCAGAGCTCCACCATGTAACAACTCCTCCAAGTTGAAGCTCTGCACGTCCGGCTTCATAACCTCAGCACAGCATCCCACACCTAATGAACTTCACAAAGGCTTTAACAAACTTCACGCAAGCCCCGGCTTCAGCCCAAGCAGCTGCTGTGTGCTCCTTGCCCACACCGATGCCCTTGCCCACCACGATCCCATGCTGGAGGGAGCAAGCCATCAAGGGCAAAAGCAGAAGCCCGAACCAGATCATTGAAACGGGCGGAACTGGCGAATGCTGCTAAACGAGCAAGGGGCAAAGGGTTGCGGTTGCTCCCTGCAGCCTTTGGCATTTGGCAGCCACAGCACAGCGGGGCACGCAAACAGCTCAACAGCTCTTGATTAACCTACATCAGGACTGCGTGACCACGTCTGCAATGAAACATAGGACACCTCTTGCGGATTCTTCCGGCCCAGGTTCGACCAGCCTGGCCGGCATTCAGCTGGCACGGCCTCCACCGCTGGCACGTCGACGTCGAAAAGCCGCGACCGCAAGGGTGCTGAGCCTGTGGCGAGCTACAGATGCTACATTAAGGCAAAGTCCAATCGAAGCTCAGGCTCAAGACCTGTTCACATGAAGCTCGTGAATCGCGACCGATTGTTTTTCAAGTCAGAGATGGAGCATTCGCCGAAGCCAAGAAGACATTAGAGTCATTAGAGGATGCCAATGTAGAGTGGTGACGCTTCAGCCTGGATCAGAACTTCCTCTGCATTGCAGCAGCCCGACATCTCTTGAGCTGGTTTAGACGGATGGCCTCTCCTCACTTGCCGCGTTATCCGACTGCCAGCCCGCTGCACCCCGACGCTTTACAGATCGTACGTGTAGTGTCATCCTGATCTCACTCTTGTCTTGAACCCCAGGCCTTGCACCTAATTGGTCCCTTGGCCAAACTCTGCCCCCGGAAGCCCTCCAAAACTCGCCGCGTAGGGCCACAATCAAGATTCCACGATACTTGGGTGGGAGGGGGACGTCGGGTTTCGTGCCTGTGGTGCCGTTGTAGCCATGCGAGCCCGCAGCCAGCTGCGGGTCACCTGGTCAACGCAGACAACTTGAAGGCCTGATGCTTACGGCTTACAACGCGGCTTGCATGGTCCAACGGCTTCAAGAAGCGAATTTGCTTCATGTCGGGGCTTGTGTTCTGAGAGCGACAGGGACAGCCTAGGGGCCCAGATTTCGGTCCTGTTGCCATGACCATGGCTGCGAGGATGGCAGTGAGTTTAACGTTTTTTCGTCTTTCTCTCAGATATGACAAGTACTCCGCTTACTTCATCATGCGCCTGTGACAACAGAGGTGCTCCCGGGATCATCTCCCCGCAGTAAAGCTGCGCCTTGCGTCTTTAGAGGTCCCTAGGGCCTATAGGGGCTTCGACTGAAAGGCCTTGGAGCTCCAAATTTTGTAGAACCCTTCCCAGCGGCCTCCTCGTGGTTCCAGGGGCTCAGTCTCTCGGATCTGGCATGGATAGAACCCGCAAAGTTGCAGCAAGCCTCATCCTCTCGCAGACGAGGCACGAAAGCCGAGAATGCGGTATTTCCCCGGGCGGTGGAAGGCCAGCAGCACGAGGAGGTTCCTCCGCTCATGTAGCACGGAACTCGAGACGGAGTGCCCCATTGGCCAGTGATCTTAACAGAAAAATAGTTGAATGGACACTCTCTGAAGACCTCGGACACTCGCAGCCAAGATGCTGCAGAGGCCAGCCAGGTGCCTGTATCGTGGATAGCAGGACACTGAGGAAAAGCGAAAATGGTCGTCTGAGAGAAAGGCCGCCGTCTGGGAATTAGGGCACACGAGGACAAATAATGCACCAGAACCACGACACAACGGGAACCTGCTGCAAACATGTCTTCTTCTACATGCATGCTGTTGCGAAATAGGGCTGGTCTAGATATTTAGGGGATCGCTTTACCTGTCCATCTTTTTTTAGAGCCCGTTGCAGTAAATGTCGTGATTTGAAGCAACCATAACAAACGCCGTCGCTGCCCATCCAGTTCTCATGATCTTGATCCCTGTATGCAAGCCTGCGAATTACAACCGGCTCAAGACGAAAGAAAAGGCATGCATACCTGGACCTAAATACAGTATGTATGCACAGTACAGGATAGTACTGACATCAATCAAAGTGCTCCGACACAGCATTTATCAACAGTCGGACCTAGCAAGGTTCGAAGTGGGAGATTCTAACTAAGCTGCCAGCACTTGTCTAATTAAGATAGTGCCTCTGACAGGATCGGAAATGCCATGATGTCTGCTGATGCTGCTGCTGCTGCTCTGCTGCTGC